CTGGAGTCAATAAGGAAATGACATGCTTTAAAATTAGTGTGTGGCAGATGGCTTTCTTCTGGCATAATATTGTATAGCTAGCTTAGGGACTATTTATGGTGATTATAATTTTGTTTTTTAGCATGTCTGTAATATGTTTTCTATCATTTCGTTCTTTAACTTTGTTGTAGCAGTAGTGTTTTGCTCTACAAGGATGGTTGTTTTTAGTTTATCAAGTATCTGAGCATATGTGTCAAGCAGGGATATTATCAAATAAATCTGAAAATTTCTGATCAACTGCTAACTTGATTTTTTTTCTTTTGAATTCAGCTCCAGTAGGTCAAAGATCGGCGACTCTGTTTCTTTTTCAACTAGCTTATTCGTCTCTAGTTGTATTTTATCTTCTTGAAAATTAGTTTTTACACCAGCAGATTTTAGAAAATCCAACCCCAGTATTAGGTTTGTTTGTAAGTTTCTCACAATGCAGAAACCACCTTCTGGTGTTCATTTTTAAGCCATCACATCTGAAGTTATTCTGCATATACATTCACAGTGTTTCCCTTGTACCACTTTCACCTTAGTTCCTGCTACATCAAATAATCTATACCTCCTAAAAGTTATCCTGAAAGGTTTTTCACCTTTTTTCAAAAAGGTAAAAAAAGATTTTTTCAAAAAGTTTTTTTTTTTTTTTTTTTTTTTTTTTTTTTTTTTCAAAAACTACTTTGTGCCCACGTGCCCAATAAAACATTTGAAGGTATGACATTTAACACAATTTAAATAATATTGAGAGAACTTTTTAATTATTGGAAGCTTTTCTCATATTAAAAAGTCTAATTACCATTGTTGTGAAGCTGAATATGAATGTGAAATTTTGTGGTAATCTACTGCTTTGTTCTAGATATGTTCGAGCCTACCAGCGGCTGAGTGTTGAAGTCTCTGAATGCTGGTTGATCAACCTGAGTTTGATTCCAGGTGAATGGGCTAGCTGCATGAACATTCTATTTAATTTGGTAGAGCCCTTTTCATTTCTTTGGAGTGATTGTCCTTTCTGACTCACGGCACCTCAGTGTAGTCTAAAGATTTCTTTTTAACTTCCACTGCTTTTCTGTATTGAGATTTATCTTAGTGCAATCAGTGAATGAAAAATTTTCTTTTTTACCAAATTGTCTCTTGCTATCAAACCTAGGACCTCCTTCAACTACAGGTTTTAAAAAAATACCACTAAATAATAGGCATACTTCCTGACATCCACAGACTTTCAAAGTTCACCACTAGCTCCAAAAATGCTTCTAACATACTAGAGTTTCTTAGCTGCAGAAAACCCTGAATCTATTGCAGCAACTTAGGTAATATTACCTGAATAACTTCGATACCGATTTTTTTTTTTTTCCCCATACACCAAATTACCACATATACTTTTCTAAGAACTCATCTGCTTTAGTCTAAAAATGACCATAAAGTTCAAACTGTAACTTCACCCTGTGTTTCACCACAGGGAATGCTTTTAAAAGGACAGTTTTTAATACTTGAAACTTTTAATTTTCACTCTCTGGCTCACCTAATAAATACTTTTTATGGCTTCACTAGCTCAGGACCTGACCTCGAAGCGCTACGGTGTAGATGTGATCACCTTTTGTAACTCTCCAATAGAGTATGTAAAAAATGCGTTTCTAAATGTTCCAAAGAGGTCAACATTGAAGTTCTCCTGTTGAAAGTGCTGGGCAGCTTCATCAATACGTGCGTAGTGTCTTAAATAAAGCCACAACCTTCTGTTGGAGTCTTAGTGGGGGCAGGATAAAAATGCTTTATCTTGCAACATAGATCATGCAAAGTTGGGCACCAGATGCAAGACTGATATTGTAATTAGGAACTAGATTTAAAGTCTTGCACACTCTATTATGTAGATAGCGAGTTATTGGTACATCTTAAACAACTCACAAAAACAGAAGATGGTTTTAATAAACTTTTTTGTTATTTTAATTTTAAAATTTATATAAAAGCGTAATCTTTGTATTTCCATCGCAGAAATTCGGCAAACATTATGGTGCATAATTCAAACACTGGCTAGCAGGAATACTAAGGCCAGGTTATTACCTTTAAGCAGAACTGGTGGAAAATAATAACAGCAAGATGTTATTGTTAGAAGCTGTTTTAAATTAAAGCATCAAAAACCTTAGCTTAAAGAAAACATGTGAAGCTAATTTGCATTCCCATGAGGAATAGAAAAGGAAAAGTTACTGGAAGGACTTGGATCATAATAACTGGATAATTAACATTAGATAAAGATATTTTACACAGGTATTTTTTTAACTTAGAGTAAAGTGTTTTTAATATTGTAAAAATTTCAAACTAGTACAAATGTTTTTAATTAATATACTAAGATATATCTGTTTCTTCTTTATGTTATTCTTATAGACTTCAGGACAGTGTTTTTGAGTTTTTTTATTCCAACTTGTTTTTTCTCATGGCATGTACATTTTATAGATCCATCCACTGTAACCATATGTTAGGTGTATCATGACTTAGCAGGCTATGCACTACAAAGCATCACCACCACTCCTTGGGCTGAGCTTCTCATTATTTCTCATAGTGATGGAAAGAAGATATTGATATGGTGTACAGACAGCTCTTTGCAGAATGTAGATTTTAAGACAACCCTTATGTACCTTCATACATGTGGAAGTTTGAAAGTTAGTGATCATACTCAGCTGACATTGTAGTTGGTAGCAAAATTCATAGTTTATTCATAGTAAAATATTTTCATAGTTTTTCCCATGTGTAACAAGTCAGTTTTCCCTTAGAAAGCTGTCCTTTAAGGCATGCCTTCCCTTAGGATAGCCCCTTAGTCAGATATCCTATGGTCTTTTGACATAATTAAATAAGCCAAACCTAGATGCATTAGTGCAGAGGGTACTGAGCTGGCAGATATTTTGCAAAGTTTGCCGTTGAAAACATAATTTTCCTATATCTTTGATAGATGTCCAAAATATCATTAAGCAGAAAGTATTATCAAATTAGTAGCAGCACTGGAACACTTGAAAAATTTATAATAAGCTAAGGGGCATAAAACCTAGTTTGAAAATGAATGGCTGAGTATGTAACATAGTTGAATATTGGTAGTTAAACCTTAGTTTAAATCATGGGAGATGAGCTGGTTGCATGGATGGTTTGGGGTTTTTCTCATTTATAACATAAATACAAACCAATATCCTTTAGAATGACCTCCACAAAAGCTTTTTCTGGTCTTAGGCTTTTCTGTTTGACCTTTTAAATCGGAAACTGAAGAGAAAATATTGTTTTAACTTGCTTAAGCCGCTAACAACTGTGGAATGCTAGAATTACCATGTGAAGAAAAATGGGTCTTGCTTAATAACTGCAGAATTAAAGTTTCATTTTTGAATAGGTAACACAAGCAATCTGTAGCATTTTGTGGAAGAGAGGAGGGGGAAAATGCACAATTTTATTTAAATAAGATCCAGTTGTAAATCTATTCTAAACAACTGATATTCTCAAGCTGTGTGATGTATGATGTTACTTTTAGTCATATACCCTGTGCATACTAATTTTCACCTTTTTGGATAATTCCTTGTTCTTCAGATTCTCCATTAAGTCTAACATATGTTTTGGCTTTACTCATTTAATAGTTGAGCTTACGTATCTTCCAAATATTTGTGAGATTTTTTTTTCCCTCCAGTAGCTAATCAAACTTATTACTTCATTGTCATTTAGTCAATTTATTATATACAGTCCAGTCATATTAATGTTACTACCAACCAAACACCAGAATAACTACTTTTCACAGTGCTGACTGCTGCAAGAACGCAGGAAGAGAGTCAGTGAGATTCCGGAAGACACTTGTGGGAATGTGTAGCCATGCTGATTTAAGTGTCATGGCCAGCTACACTAACTTGTGTAGCTGAGGATCCATGGCACAAATAACTCGGTCAAGGTGGTACCATAGATTCTTGATTAGGTTTAAGCCCAGAGCATTTGGCAACTAGGGGAGTACAGTAAACTCATTCTGGTGCTCTTTGAACCATGACATATCCTGCAAGCTATTTGGACCCTTCTGGCAGTTGTTGCTGGATGTTATTTTTCAGATGTTTCATGCTATATCTGCCAACTTCCATCTGTCTGATAGAGCATAACTTGAGATTCTTCAGAAAAAGCCACCAGTCTCCATTCAGTGGGCATCCACTTGCAGTATCAATTTATAAATTCCAACCTTTGTTGCTGATCAACAACAGCCAGCATAGGTGCATTAACCAGGCATCTGTTGTGGAGACTCATATACATCAATTATTCGCTAAACTGTTGCTGAAGGCACCCTGTTGGTAGCCCCTTGGTTCATATGGATAGCTGGTTAGTGCACAGATTCACATCTATTCACCTGAATGCATCTCTGCAGCTATCATTCACCTGTGTCATCTATGGCTTGTGGTGTACCACATCGCTGGTTTTGGATAATGCCTTTTTGCCATACACCACATACTTTTACCACAGCAACACATAAACAGTTCACAAAATTAGCCCCTGTTTCAAAAATGTTTCCAAACTTGGCCTAGAAGCCAATGATTAAGCCCTTCTTGATATCCGATAAATCACTATATTTCTGCATTGCACCAACAACTACTCTCTCTAACACCCTTTATATACCTTTCACTGCTAGTGCTGCCACCTGCTTTCTGTGTTATTTCAGGTTGGTGCCGAAAGTAGGTGGTTACATTTATGTGACTTGACTATGTATATGTCATATAGAGAATGATGCATCATTTACATTTTCTCAATACTTTAGTTTTAGAAGAAAATTTAGTATAATAAAATATCCAATGAGTATTTATTATAAAAAGTGCAATGTATATATTTGTCTACTATTTTAAATCCATAATATATATAAGATTTACAAACAATTACAGATTTTTAATGTATATAATTTAAATCCATGATGATACTATAGGATGGATGACAGATGTTAGCCCCTGTACATTATCGTTTTGAATAATAAATGTTCTCTTCAACAGGTGATTCAGCTGAGCAGTGTATGTCTCCATCTAATGAAATATATTTTCAGTCTGAGTATTCAAAAGCTTTTAATCCATTTTGTAAGTAAGTATTAATTCATTTTAAATACTTTCACAAAGTTGTACTAATCTTAATTCTGTCATAAATTACGTGTAATAGGGAGTGTATTTGAATATGTATTATATACACCATCAAAGTTTTTAATTTCAGAATGTTCTATGCATATGTATGTATTCTTGTAGTTTCAGAGATTATGCAAACATAACTATATATACATATATTTATATATATATAGTTATTTAATTTAGCCATTCCTGTTATATATATATATATAACAGGAATGGCTAAACCTCTCATCTTTAAGAATCACATTTCAAAAGTCAGGAAAGCTGAAGAATCTCAGTTAAATTTACCGAAAGTTACAACTAGATATTTGTATCATATTAAATGCTGTAAAATAGTTTTTGAGTAGAAAGAAATGTTTCAAATAATTTAACTGTGATATGGTATTTTGTATTTAATGTGTTTATTCAATATAAAACATAGCATTTTCTTCAAGATTCCCCAAATTGTTTCCTTGATTCTAATAGGCAACTGATTTTAATGGGAATAAGTTGGAGAAGAAGATTTAACAGTCCTTATAATTATATAATGGGTAATTTGAAAAGTTCTATATTTCTCAAATTGAAGTACATTTTCTTTTTTCTTACCTCTGATAAGGAATGACCTTGATTGAAAACGATGTTTAAAGATGTTCTTTTCTGCTTATTTTAAAGAAGGAAAAAAATGCTAGGCATGTTGCTTATTGGACTTTTTGATGGACTTTTTTGATGTGTAACTTGAGAAGTTTTAGGTATGGAAATTTTAGCTTTGAAGAATAAATAAAAGATATAGCTAATAAAAGAATCTATCACCAAGAATTCAAGTTCTACAGTTCAGGAACTATCAGACAGAGTAAATGTTTCAAAAAGTGTGATACAGGATCATTTGAAAAAGATTTGGTATATAAGCTGCTACAATGTATGGGTATTCCATACTTTAACAGAGCAAAATACTTGAAGTTTTGGCAAGTGATTTTTTGCTGAGAAGAAAGAAAGAAGCTCCTTATTTGAAATGACTCATTACTGGAGATGAGAAGTGGATACTATACAATAACGTTATAAGAAAAAGATCACAGGGTAACCAAAAGAACCTCCTTTAGTAACATCGAGAAGGGGATTGCATCCCCAAAAAGTAATACATTGCATATGATGGAACTGCAAAGAAATTTTATAATTGAATGAAAATATGAATTGCTGTCACCAAATCATAGTTTGTGAAAAATACCATTCCCAAATGGCAGTTTTTAAAGCAGAATCAAAGCCAAGAGCCCAGAACTGGCTAATAAGCAGAAACAACCTGTCTGTCAACCAAACTGTCACATGTCTGTTTTATTTCCTTCCCAGGGGATTGCACAGGAGTTAATAAATTTAAATCGGCAAATCCACTTTTCAAGTGCATTATTCTTCAGACGAATGAAAAGCTATATACATTGTGATACTCGTTTGATTTCAGTCTATTTCTCCTCAGAGAAGAAAATGCTTGAGTTTCCATCTAAAAAAAAAATTCAGTTGCATTATGCAATGATTTCAAATCTATATTTCATAGAAACTTACTTTCCTAACTAGAAGAAAGAAGAATTATACACTTATATTTATATGAAACCATATTAATGACATAAAAATGGGGATTCATTATAAGCAAATATTTAGTTTTCAAAATTCATTTCACTGCTTTTAAAATGATGTACTTTATATATTATTATATATGCAGATTAGCATAGCATATATATTTGCATATAAACCTAAAGTGTGTTTTTTTCCTTCAAAAATTTACCCAAAATTCAAAACCTGTTTATAAGCTGTAATGAAAAAAAGTTCCTGTAACATTTAAACTTGTAATGAGGGCAAAAATGTTGCCAAGCAGATAAAATGGATGGAATATTTTCCAATCAAATTGCTGTAAAGTAAAACGCCAGACACCAACAAAGGTAGTTTTAATTCTATTTGAAGTTAGTACATTTTTTTCCATTCATTTATTTGTCTTGTATATTATTTGCTGTTTCTGCTCCAGTCTTATTTTTGGTAACATTTTATTTGACTGAAAGATTAGTGAGAAGAACAATTCCTGTACTACAGCTAAATTTAAACTATGGGTGGTAGTGTTTAGAGAAAATTCCAACAGTATGGCTACTCTCATTTTTCTGTGAATTAAACCCAAGTTTGAGAGTAGAGAAAAAAAACAACAGCAATACAAACAATTTCTAAAATAAAACAACTAATTTTCATAAGACGAATAACTCATTTAAAATATTTGTTTTTGGAAACTTAAGGAGTATAAACTAAAGAAATGGCATGGTGCTGTATTGGTGATTTATCATTCACCCCTGATCATCTTAAAAGTTCCCATGTTTTTTGCAAGATTAGCAGATCTGTATATAGGCCGAGCCCCATAATTTAGCTTTAGATAAAGTTCCAAAAATTCTTGGCTTATTCATGGAATATGCTATATGGAGTTACAGCTCTTGAACTTTCTCGAATTCTAACATGTGGCTACTGCAATCAGGAAATACAGTCAAAAGTCGTTAATCCGGACTCGTCGGGACTTCGGCGATTCCGGATTATCGATTTTTCCGGATTATAGATCATCAGTTTAAATCTCGTAAGATGGCATGCAGAAATTCTAAAATTAAAAATATGAAACCGTAATTTATGAAATAAAGAACAATTATGATCTAAAGGGTATCAAAATTTGCAAAAAGAAAAAGCTTAATATTTATTTGTTTACTTTATTAAACATTTCTTTCAATGTAAGTTGTTTAAGTTTTGCTTCGTTTCATGTGATAATACTTTCTCTTTAATTCTATTAAACAGACATAATTTCTTGTTTAGTTACAAAGTTCCGCTGTTCAAGTCCTATAATTGCTGTGTCGAGAACACAGACTAATTTGTCAATTGAAATTTTTTCGTTTTCAATAACCTCTGTTACTTTCTTCGCTATCGAAAGCGAATTATAATGACGAGGAACTTGTTTTAAATCATATCAAAGACGGAGCATATCGAGATGAAATACTGCATTTGGTAAGGAATTATAAGCCAAATAAAATAAAAACATCTGCGCTGAAGATAAGGATAGTGCTGACAGATCAACTTCCAATTCATTACGCGCCCGCCGCGGCAATCCCCCCGCCGAGCAGCGTGAAATTGATAAACAGATTTCGGATTTCAAAACATACTTTCGCTTTAGATCCTTTACATATTAACAAATATATATCGGAAATTATATTTGATATAATCGAAAGTTTAAGCTTACTTTTATAAAATTGCTCTTACAGTCTGCAAAAAATAATAAGCCGGATCCAATTCGAAAATTAAGGAACAACGCAATCATCAACATTAACTGAAATAGATAATTAGATAATTTTAGCTTATACGTCCATTATAATAAAACGCGCACGCGAAAACGTATTCTGCACTTGCGCACACTCATATGCGCAGTCGTAAAGGGTCTTACGCGCACGCGTAAACGCCTATGCGCATGTGTCAACGCGGCGCATGCGCAGAAAGTTTTTAGTTTTGAGGTCCGGATTATAGATCATTCCGAATTAACGACTTTTGACTGTATAGCTGCACCTGCTTTATAGAGTCATAATGCTATTTGAAAGGAAGGTAAGATATTAGATGTCATGCTTTTTTTTATCAAAGCAAGCAATGAACCGTAAGTTTGAAAGACATGAATTTTATTCATAGCTGAGAGACTATAAACATGAATTTGATGCTGGTAACTCATACCTAGTAATTAAGATAAAATAACGTGCTGAACAAGCATTAATTCAAAAGTCAAACAACAAAAATCAGCTTTATATTTGCAAATTTTCACTGGGCACATTCAAAAAAATGATTCTGTTCTAGTTAACGACCCTAATTCCAATCAATCTTTGCCTTCAGCCTTTAAAGAAATTATGTTTTAGTTCTTGTTTCATCAATAGATGGTGCCAGTACCTTAACTCCTGTCCAGCCATTCTTATCTTATCTAATCACTATATCTTAATTTCATTCGTTTGTACTTTGGCAGCTGAAGATGATGTTCGGTAAAACCATCGAAACTAATCCTTGAAAATTTGCAAATGCTGGTTTTTGTTGCCTGACTTCTAAATTAATGTACCTAGTGGTTGAATTACCTTTCAAAGTTCCTTATCCTTTTCTCATGTGCAATGTAAATATAGGTCACTTTGCCATGAAAACCTTTCTACTGATGCAACAAACAATGCCCTTTAACAAATGCCATATTGTGTTCTTCATTAAGTGAATTTTTTAAAAATAAAGGTAGAAACACTAATATTTTAAGTAGATTAAACTTAAGTTGCAGATTTTTTTTCTGGTTAATTTCAGTTGTAGAATCAGAATTGCCCTCCTATATTGTGTTAATGGTTAGAAATTTGAATTGTGCATGCATGTTGTATCGATGGTTGACGATTGCTATGAGAAGACAGACTAGATATTGATCTGTTCATTTCACCATGTTGTAACTTATTTTCACATTGATAAGCAGGAACATTGTATAGTTTATAAATCTTTTTTTTTTTTTTTTCAAATCTGATAAAGATTTTGGGATTTTGATAAATTGATTTTAAGGGAACTGATAAACAGCAGATATTTGGGAGGAACTGTGTGTGCGAAACTTCGACATATCAGTAAAATTTCTGAGCATGTATTGAATTATGTTCTTATTTGGATACTGTGTATACTGATGCTTCATTAAAAAAATCTGTGCTATTGTTAAAATAGGTTTTATATCAAAGAAGCAACTTTTCAGAAAATGTAGATACAAAATAATGTTTTAACCATGTTGCATTGTTAAGCTATCTGTGTATACAAACTTTCAGACAACAGTTTTCATCAAAGCGCAAATGAACCTGTGTAGAAAAAAAAAAGTATCATTTTGTAACTGGAGTCCAACTGAACCCATACACTTTTTTAAGCTCATGCATTAAGTACAAATGTTTTACAAAATTTATCACTTTATGACCAACTTCATAGCTTAGCTAATAGCCCCTTATTATTATGGCTGCCATTATTCAGTGGCACCAAAATAAAGTATCAGTATTAATTTATGAGGTTTTACTTCATTTGAAACCGATAACCTTATCAGTTATGAAGCAAATCATCACTAGATCTGATATAACTACACATCATAAAGTGTTCATAACCTTTTAATTAAACAGAGATTTGAACATAATTCTTGCACTTAATATCAACCTATAGCTTATAGTGATGGAACTAAATGAGAACAGTCAAAATCAAATTTAAACATGTAGTAGCCAAAGATTACACAATTTAAATTGTAGTCAAAGACTACACAATTTAAATCGTCCTGGCTTGGTAATTCTAACCAAAACTTTAAAATCAATTTATTGGTAGTGAATAACACAAAGCCAGCAGGGTTAATAAGTCTGTGTGGAGTCAATCGAGTTGTCAGTTGGGCAGCGATTGCCGAGTGGGTCGTCGAGTGCATTGAAAGAGTCTGTTACTGTATCGTGGTTTTTGCATCATTGAGAGAGTGTGTTGAGCTCCAGGAATGATTGAACCAAGAAGTCAGGAGCTGTGCTTTGTGTGTCGTCAAGCGCATCAAGAGTTGTCGCGTGGAGAGTCTCGAGAGTACAGGGAGTTCCGAGAACGACCGAGCAGAGTCGGGAGCTGTACTCTGGTGCTTTGCAGTGAAGCTGTCTTCATCGTGTTAGCCTGATAACCTGGAGGCTGTATCACTGATTGTTCCAGCGAGTTTATAGTAGAACTTTGATGACTGTAAATGTGATATTCGAGCTGTCTTGAATAATACTGGCCAATAAAGGGTGTTTTGATACTCCATCGAGTGCTGTTCTCATTATTCCCTCCAAATCCGCACGAACCCATACCATAATGAACATCATGAGGAGGAAAATAACGCAACAGTAACCTCACCAATAATCATGTTCTGTATAGTGATCATGTTCACAGAAGATAAAAATTGTTTGAAGGTTTATGAAGGTTTTATTGTAACATATGAGGAACTAAAGGAAAAAAAACCTCAACTAATTGTATGGTTTGTTTGAAATAATAAAATTATGGTTCAACAAAGTATTTATTTCATTTAAAACACCAATACAGTTTTTCTTGCTCTGATTTTGAAAAGCCTTTCCACAGCTTTTCTACCATGATCTTATTATTACAGTACAAAGTCTTTAACCCTTTCAGGACGGGCGTCCCATATACGCATTCCCTAAGAACGTCTCTTACAGCCGGGCGTCCCATCCACGCATCAGGAAAGATCGCGTTCAGAGGACGGGTGATGCGTATACGCATTTTAAGGTGGAACATTTTTCTGAAAGCCACTAGATGGCATCCTGTGTCCATTACTTTTGAAATGAACACATGAGTTTGATATATTCTGCTTGACTTTGGTATTTTACTCATAAGCAGTTCGAGCGTGGGGGGGGGGGGGTGGGGGGGGGTGGAGGGAAAGCGTAAACAGAGGTGGGCTCTTTAAATCGCTGCGTGCTAATGAAAACATTCTCGTATCTGATTTATATCAAATTCCTTTTTTTCTTCTATTTTTTCCTCTACTATGTACGTTCTTTTAGGGTTACTGTGCGGAGGTTTTTTACGTTTTGCATTGCCTTCAGATATATTACTGTTCCTTCTTTTTTTATTTAGGAAAGCCTCACCTCCAGTCTATTATGGCGGGAAGGCGCTATTTGTCAGAGGAAGAATACCCTCATATGGTTAGTGAACCATTTTCTAACACAAATGAGAGTACTGATTCATTTTCTAAAGAGTTAAAAAGTGGTACTTTTTCTAAGAGTTACAAAGTGATACTTCTCTGTTCTTCGATACAAGTAGACTCGTTTTCATTTTAAATTTTGTTACCACACTCGTTTTCATTTTAAATTTTGCTACTTGTTACTGTAAATAATCTTTATTGTGTTCTTTTTATTAATTTTAAACTTTATTGATGGATTTTATCAATTAAAACTTTGGAATAATTTGAATAGCGCTTCCGAAAATTATTTTAGAAGATAAGCAATTTTTTAAGTATATTTTCATGTAAAATAAAGAAAAAATGTTTTAAGGGCTAATTTTAACATATATAAGAGCTCAAGTAATAATCTAAAATGATACCAAAAATTACAATGCTAGAAGCAAAACTTTTGTTTTTCTGATTTTTGTTATAAAATTAGGCTTAGTGATGCAAAACCTCCGTCCTGTATGGTGACTGCCTTTGATTCTCTTCCGTCCCACACGAGCGTCTTAAACAAAGGTGCGCCATTGCGAAAAGGTTAATCCAGACTCGTCGGGACTTCGGCGATTCCGGATTAGGGGTTTTCCGGATTATCGATCATCAATTTAAATCTGGTAAGATGGCATGCAGAAATTATAAAATTAAAAGTATGAAACCGTAATTTATGAAATAAAGAGCAATTATGATCTAAAGGGTATCAAAATTTACAAAAATAAAAAGCTTAATATTTATTTGTTTACTTTATTTATTAAACATTTCTTTCAATGTAAGTTGTTTAAGTTGCTTCGTTTTATGTGCACTTTTTATGTTTACTTTCTCTAATTCTATAAACAGACATAATTTCTTGTTCAGTTACAAAGTTCTGCTGTTCAAGTCCTGTAATTGCTGTGCCGAGAATACCGACTGACTTGTCAATCAAAATTTTTTTGTTTTCACTAACCTCTTTGTCGCTTTCTTCATGTCTTTAACCATTTTTTGCAGCAATTCCACTTTTTGTTTGATGGACATCGAAACATGCTTTCACTTTGTAGATCCTTTGGCAGCTCAAGAATCGGAAACTCTTTTTGACATAATCAAAAGTTCAAGCTTACTTTTTATAAAATTGTTCTAATAGTCAGCAAAAAATAGTAAGCCAGATCCAATTAGCAGATTAAGGAACAACGCAATTTGCAACATTAACTGAAATAGATAATTAGATAATTTTAGCCTAGCTTATACCGTTCGTTGTACATTAAACGTGCATGCATAAACGTTACGCATGCGCAGAACGTTTGTAGCTTTGAGGTCCGGATTATAGATCATTCCAGATTATGGACGTCCGGATTAAAGACTTTGTACTGTATTATTCAAATCTGTCATGCATGAAGCTTTTTTAGTTTTAGACAAGCTTGCTAAACTATGATTTATAACATAATAATGGAAATTTTAAGCAGGATTTTTTTTTTTTTTTTTTTTTTTTTTTTATATTTAGTATAAAATGAGGTAAATAAGGTAATTAATCATTAAAGCAAACAGTCATTTTGATAATGCTGAACTGGTTAAGAATGAGCTGCAGTAGTTTTTACCCAACTTACTACAGTAATTATTTCTACTATTAGTTTTAAAATGTCAGATGCATAATTAATTTTTAGTTTAATTTAAAAATGACTATAGTTTAGATATTATAATAACACTGCTGCTATGCAGTAAAGCTTATTATCTTTTGTTATAACTGATAAACGCAGGTAGGTGCCTATCACTTATAACTGTGTAACTGCATTTTCAATTTTGATAAATATTTCAGATGCCATAATGCAGAAGTTGCTCCTGCTGGTATAAAATTAAAAACTCCTGACAATAATGGCGATCATATGAAAGAAATTTTTACTATGAAGACTAGAGGAGAATCTGCAATCATTATTCCCATATCTAAGACATGGAAACTTAATCCTGATGCTGAATGCAATTTGTGAGATTTGTTTCCTTGCTTTTTTATAATAGAATTTTACTTTATTAAAATTTGTGTTTTTAAAAACATGCTAAATAATTTTGTTAAGTCTTTCCTGTCTATTTTTTCGTTTAGTTTTTACTTTTCCTAAAGATATCAGTGTATATTTTAGAAATGAAAGTGTGTTTTATATATTCATATCTTTAAAAATAACATATTTCTAATTTATTTCAAGTCTGTTTTGTAAGACTGTGTAAGCATAAGTTATGTCTCATTACTAAAGTTTGAGAAAAGTGTCAGAAGTTTAACTTAATTTGTGATCTCTAGTATTTTTCAATGTACTCTAAGCAAAAATTAGTTGGCACATGTAATTTAAATATGTAATAAATTAATGGATAAAACTGATTTGCATGCTGTTAAGAAAGCCCAAATGTCATGGTACAAAAATGTTATTAGAAGTAGATTTTAAAAAAATTGTATTACCTAATAAACAAACCATCCAACATCTGAATCTACTTTACCAAGAGTACAAAATGAAATATGATTTATTATAAACCAATTAACAATCAATGTTTCTTTTGATTTGTTTTCTTTTCATGTTAATAAGATATCTCTTTTCTGTTTTTATCTCAAAAAAGCTCATAAATTCTGCACTACACCTGAATTATAAAAAGCTGAAAATAAATACTTTCAAGAGTTTGCAAAGAATGGTACATACCATAAGATTTTTTTTAAAAAAAAACTTCATTATCAGTGCAAAGGACATGCCACAGGTACAGTAATGCTGCAACTCATTCACTGTTGTGGGTATAGGCCAAATGTTATGGCAACAGTTATGTATGGTAAATAACATAAATTCTCCACAAGTAATTAAGAGTAAATGCAACTAACCCAATTGCTAAAAAATACTAGAATTATCCCCCATATGACTTGACATTCGATAACATTAAAACAGTTTTACTTACTTGTATAATGCCATTTTAGTTTACATATGAACACGCACTGAGCATACTTTTACCATTTTGCTAATTTTATTTATTAGTAGCTACTATATTAATTTCTTGATTATATATATGTTTATCATAGTTACACTAAAATGTTCATTCACATTCTGATTGTTCTTTACCATATGACATCATAGACCTGAGCATGTGTAACGCTAAGGAATCCTATTTCACCTTCATCAAGAATTACAAAGACACTAAAATTATATTAAAAGATTTGCTCTTTAAAGCATATATGTTAGTTTCTCCACACACGAAGAAGCTGCTCGACATTACACCTGAAGCATTTCACACACAGCACCTGGCAAAGATAGATAATGCTGGCCAAAAACATCGGAAGGAAGACATGTTTCCACAAAATAAAGCTGTTTTCATGGAATTGCAGTTAATCTCTGTCAGTTTTGTCAGATTGCGATTAAACACATTATAGCCTGGGGAACTCCCGCATCATCTTTTTGTAGAAAGATTGGAATTTGAAGACTATGCTATACACACTCGCAACGTGTGAAGAAGAAATAAAAATGGCAGTGAGGATGAGGCAAGAAGCCCCGTCCCTACCAGTGTGCTATGAAATAATGCACCACAAAACTGGTTCGGTCAAACTTTATGCTCTCACACTGAGCAATGAAGATTATTTCAGTGAAATCGCAGTGTAAAAACTTGCTTTTACATTCACAAACAAAAGAGATAAATTAGCCTAAAGTGATATTAAGATAATAGCTACATGAAGAACATATGTATATAGTATCCACCATTTATTAAACTCACTGGTTAATAAAATCATCTGCCTTTTACATTTAAATTTCCAGGAACCAAATCAAATATAAATCAATGTTTATTAAACTCATCTTCGTCACATATAAAACTTGAAATGGCAAATAATAATTTAATTCTTCAGTTCCAGAAAAGGCTACTGGTATCTACCAAAGCTTCTTGTAGCTCATTCATTTTACTTATTGTGGGTTGTGGCTTATTTATCATTCAATTACATAGTGCAACAATAAAAATGGATTTGAATAAAATTTTTCTATGCCCGTATTCCTGAACCTGTAAGAGTCCTTGGACTTGTAAGAAATTTTTTTATAGCTCATTGTTCTCACTCAAAATTTCCTTATCTTAAGGTTAACAACACCGTTATAAATGAGTGAGTGTTATTTCTCAAATACCAGCAGATAAGAAGTTGATGTTTTTTCCCTTCAAAATCTTCCCTTTGGATCACACAGAAGGTTCACACATTCAAAGTCTTCCCATTGGAATACACACACAAATTATTTTTAAAAAGTTCATTAATTGCCTTCTAGCATTACCATACATTAAACAGCTTTTGAATGGAGAGGGAGTTATGAGTGATAATTATAGGCTGAAGAAAAAGCAAAGAAAATGTTGGCCATACCTGTAATCATTAAGTGGCAAATCAAATCAACATACAAAATGCAAACTTTCTGCTGGCTAGAAACGTGGTTTTTGAAGTTGTATAAATCATTGGAAGAAGAATTTTTTAAATTTGTTTTGTGCTTAACTTGTAACATTCTAAAAATGCTTAAGTGAAAAGTCTTAAAAGAATAAAAGCATAAAAGAAAAGGATAAACTGTTAGAAGATCTTGATGGGCTTGATAAGTACAGCTAGGAAAAAATTGCATTTAGACTGTGAATTTCGCAAACATTATGTAGTAGACTTAAACAATGAATTATAATTGATGAACTAATAAAAAATAATGTTTCAAAGAATTGCAAAAAAGACAAAATCATGAGACATTGAAATTCCTTTTAAAGAATTGTTTCTAATCGTGAAAATAGAAAATGCTCCTATTTTTAGAGCTACTACGAAAGTTCACTACAAAAGCTCTGGAATTCACCGAAATGCTAGGAGAGAATTTTGTATTAACTGACAGATGTCTTACAGGATGGAAAGAGAAAATATCTAACATTTTTCATGCGAAATTGCATGGTGAGAAGTATGAGGCAGCTCATTATGTGGTCGATAACTAGATAAAAATATTGTTACATTATTTTCTTCTTCTTGACGTTCGTATGGGTTCATACTGATTTGAAGTGATTAATGATGACAGCTCTTGATGAAATATCAAAACACAATTTATTAGCCAGTATTATTCATGACAACTCCAATAACATTTTTACAGTGGTCAAAGAACTACTATAAACATGCTGTAACAATCAGCGTCACAGCCTTCAGGCTATAACGGTAAAGACAGCTTCACGGCAAAGCACCAGAGTACAGCTCTGTTTGGTCGTTCTTGGAACTCTACGTACTCTCGAAACTCTCCATGCTACAACTCGCAATGCACTCGACGATACACAAGAGTACAGCTCTCAACTCAGCACACTCTAAGACAATGCACTAACTCCCGATATGCTAAAAGACTCTCTCGATGCACTCGACGACAACTTGGCGCTAGACTTGAGACAGCCACTCAATGACCGACTATCAACTCGCTAGACGAGGCACCAACTCTCCGCATACCAGCAGGGTTCATATAGCTTTTTGCTTGTGTTCGAGAACATTCGGGGCTAAACCAGTAAGAATTTGTTCCAGAAGGTTCTCCATCAATCTATGGCATATCGCCAAATGTGGCAACCCTAAACCTGCTTTGTGGAGAAGCTATCCCGCCCCCCCCCCCCCCCCCCCCCCCCACCCCCCCCCCCCCCCCCCCCCCCCCCCCCCCCCCCCCCCCCCCCCCCCCCCAGCCTACCTACACGCCTGGACATATCGTAACACTGCCCCCTCCCAAGGACTGCATGTCCCGGACAGTATAACCTTTGGTCAGAAGCATAATTCGATGCAAACAAAAAGTAATAAAACAAACAAATAACATAACTAAAGCAAGAAATGAACACATAACAATTTTAAATTGTACAAATTAAAGTTCAGAATAGATTTCAGTCTTTTCATTAATTTATACCCTGGTCAAATACTTTTCCACTGCAATTCTCAGATGTTTTCCTGTTTTTTAGGTCACAGTTTGAAGATTCAGTCCTTTCAGACTTTTCATCCATTGGAAAATCTAAAACAGTTCGTTCACCACTCTGTAGTTCATTCACAGCATGCATACAGTTTATTTTCTCGATATTTTTAGCAGAAGCTGCATGCTTATTTACCTCTATCCTGAAAGTCAGTTCCAATGTTTGCACTAGGGTCATGAATAGAATCCGATCCTTTACAAGCGGAAGTTTCCAGGTTTAGAATAAAGTCCTTGTCTGCACAACCTGCCCTATGAGGCACACACATAGTGTGCGAAGTGGGTGAATTTTCTTGTAATACTGGAGCACTCTGTGTAAGTTGTACATCAGCTTCTTCCATCTCAGCATCACATGAACTTTCAGATGGTTCACTACTTGCTAACTGCGACTTCGTTACTTCACTATTAGTTTCTACCAACTTAATAGTTGCATTTTCACTTTCTTCCGCCTCTATTTCAGGCACTTGAGAATCCAGAACTTTATTTCCCTGAATTATTTCTTCATCTCTTTTTCAGAAGCTTTACAAGCACTTCTTTTATTTCTTCATCTTTACAAAAAGTGTTGTCACTTTCTTTAATCTCGTTAGACGGTCCATCCTTCATTTCTCCATCCCTTGATTCTTCATATGCCACTTCTGTCCACATATTCTTTTATTTCCACATCGTCTTTTATGGCTCCACTTTCATCCATTGGAGTTGCTCTGGCACCTTTTCTTGGCCAGCTTTTATCTCTTCTCGTCCGGTCTTCATCTCTTCCGGTCCAGCTTTTATCTCATCATATCCAGCTTTCATCTTAGCATATCCAGCTTTCAACTCTTCCTGTCCGGCTTTCATCTCTTTCAGTTTGACTTTAATCTTGGCTAAAAAGTCCATCAAAGTCTTCGTGTCCTCCACTATGGCTTCTGTAGGTGGTGGAGGAAACGAAGGCGGGTCACTGGTATTCACTCCCAGATCCCACTTCTGACACCAGTTGTTATGTTATTTTCTTCCTCTTGACACTTCTGACACCAAGTTTTACGTTATTTTCTTCCTCTTGGCATTCGTACGGGTTCATGCAGATTTGGAGTGAATAACGATACACCAGAGTACAGCTCTTGACTCGGCACACTTTAAGACAAAACTAGACGATGCACTAACTCGCAATACTCTCTTGATGCACTCGGCGCTAGACTTCAAGACACTCGCTCAATGACTGACTCTCAACTCGCTAGACAAGGCACTGACTAACTCTCCACGTACCAGCAGGTTTTATATAGCTTTTGGCTTGTGTTCAAGAACATTCTCGGCTAAACCAGTAAGAAATCGCTCCAAAAGGTTCTTCATCCATCTATGGCATATTGCCAAATGTGGCAACCTGCCTTCCCTTGCCATTTTCTGGCAACCCTAAACATGCTTTGCAGGGAAGCTATCCTACCGCACTTGGACATTTTGTAACAATATATTTTACTTTAACTGCTAATTGAATTAAATTTATGATACAGATGAATCTGGAATGTATTACAGAAAATTTCCAAAACACACATTAATATTTTATAATGAACCAGCAAATGGTTTAAGAAACTAAAGGAACACGTTTCGGTGTTACTTTCATGCAGTATGGACCCAACAGTTAAGAAGACAGCACTGGATATTGACAAAAAGAGAAAACCTTGATGTTTGAAAGCAATCAGGAATTTACCTCTAATTTAACCTAGCAACAAGTACTCATTCACGACAAGTAGTAGTTTTACAGATTTTCTTTTGAAATTAGACAGCAAAGTGAAGAATGAAAAAAAAATAACATTGCTAATTAGATATTACACCTCTGATCTCTTTCTAGACAATGATATCTCCTTCCTGCAAGTACATTCAACTATTTAGCTTTTAGACCAGGAAGCTTGCAAATGTCATTATGTGAAAGATGTGAAAAAATAGTTAACTGAGCTGAATCTCGTGAAAATGCTGAAAGTCATACATATTATAGCCAATGCGGGGGGCCAATTTCTTAAAACGCAGATAAAACTTTTTTTTTTTTTTTTTAATTTGGCTTTTATGTAGAAGCTTCAGACAAATTGCAAGTTACAGCTGATATTTCAGACATGAGTGCTGAAAGTTACGAAGATTCATCTTTAGAATAAGTGGCGAATTGATGACAGTAATGATTCAGTATGTGTAAAACCGACTATGGTATTATAGAAAATGTTAAAAAAACTGCGGAAACTGATAATGAAAGTAGTACCCGATGGCACAGATGTTGAAATGTACTATTGAAATACTTCAAAGTCACAATGATGATGCAATAAGAAGTGGTGATGGAAGAATTAATATTGCTTTTTATTTCTCATTAACACTCATTTGTAAGACAATAACCTAACTTTTAAGAAGTAAATCCGTGCCAATATGTTTTAAAATATAATTCTGATGTGAGCAGAAGTATCAGACTTGTTAGGAAGAAGTGAAAAGTGATGTAATTTAAGACAGAGGCTTTTTGAGGAAGAAAAAGATTCTGATTTGAAAATTTTGACTTTCATTTCCAAATTAACTGCATCATCCAGCAAAAAGGAAGGAAATGGGAAATTTCCAAATTAAAATAAAGGGTTATTACTAATTTAAGCTAGAATTTTAACTTGTACATTTTTTTATCTTGCACGCGTATACATTGGGGTTCTAAAACAGCAGTTGCATCAATAAAAATTTTATATCGTTAATTAAATACATTCAAGATAATCTATATTGCATATACAAATCTGCAAAGGAGGAAATCTGTGCAAGGCCACATATTAGTAATGAACTTGCCTTCAATCTCCTGCATGTTTAGAAGGCTATTCTTAAAGTACAACAAACCAAACCTTAAAAGAAACTATAGTAACTTAAACATAAGAAGATGCAGCCCAGCAATAAAGGAAGGAAAACAAATGAATTGACATGCAATTTGGATTCTGGTTGAAGAAATATGCAGGTTATCTGTAAAAACTTAACTTATATTAAACACCTAACCTAGTTTTAGAGTGTGTGGCTTAATGATATCTGTCCGTTTTTTTAAATAGTTTTGATCCATCTGTTTTATAAATAACTTAAAAATGTAAAGCCATTGCTTAGTCTAGAAAATAAATGTTGTGGCAAATATAAATTAAAGAATAAAAGGAACAAAGCATTGTTATATAAATTTTATTAGTATGATAATTTCAATTCATTTCGTTTGCTCACAGAATTGTACTCTATTTATTGTAAAAGAATTAATTAAAGAAATTGGAAAGATTGATGAAAAAACATTGTGTAATTCGTTGTAAAAATTAGACACTTAATGTTACTTAGTACAATTTTCATGCATTTTAGTTTTCCTGTAATAAAATATGGTACAGAGTGATAAGCTGAAAATATGCTGAATTCTGTTGTTATCCTTTTTACGACTAATATCATTTTTCTTAGTACTTGTGTGTTTGTCAAGCACAAGTGATAAATTGTACCCGACTAACACATACCAGCCACAAGCCATATCAACCAACCAACCAAACATATGCTCTTACAAACACCAATGATGTTGGAAATTCAAGTTATTAATTTAGTAACTCTAATAAAAACAAGTAAATTTATTAAATAGACTAAAGTTATTGTAAACTGGAAAAACACTGGCTCATAAAAAACCTTTATTAATTTTCTTTTGAAATTATTTTGAAGGACATAAAGATTTTTGACTTCTTTCTAATTAAATAATAACTAAACAGTGATGTCATGTTGCTTAAATAAAATCATTTCATGCAAGAGTAACACACTGTTATATTATATTCTTTGTTTTGAAGAGTAAAAATCTTGTGATATTTATATTTTGTAGCAGATATAAGCAGCAACAGTCTGCAGGTCATGATAGTATTCATCATGGGAGTAAATATGGTAACTGTGATCTAAAATGTGACATGGAAGAAAAAAAAATTATCCATCTTTTATGTAGTTTACTTAAAGGGAATACTGCAAGTGATTCTGAAGATCATTTATGTGGATTAAAAGGCTGCTTCCAGGTAAATTTCACCATTATAATTAAACACAAAATTTGTTAAAATAAGCTTCAAATCTGAATATATATTAATTCAGAAAAATTGCATGTTTAATATATTATATTGCAAAGTTCTGTGTCAATGCAACCTTAGTTTGGTTTAGATTTTGAATAAAACTCTATTGATTTTGAGAATAATTATACACAAATCCCTCTTCTTCAACTTTTTTGACCTGTGTCTGATATTTAGATAAAAGGGCTAGTCTTCAAAGCATTCATTAATGGACTAAATAAACAGAACCTATCTGAATTTAAATTAGGCAACATTTAAGCTTAATAAGGTATTAATTCTTGAGGAAAATAATGTCTGCAAATTTTGAATTTGACTGGATTATTCTTGTTCCATTGAAGAAGAGACATTTGTGTCAAAATCAGGTTGGTATGTATAAATACGCAACTTAAATCTAATTTTGCATTCGCTATTCTAAAACTCAATATTCAAATCAAATAATAAAGAAATTTTGCTTACCTGTCAGATGCAGCATTGATCTCACATTCTGTCATTTTATCCAAATTTTATTGATGACACAAATAAATACATTTACAATAAAGAGACACATATATTTTTATTTTGACTTTTGCAACTTAATGTACTTTCTTTTTTCATTTCTCACAGTCAGCAATGTTCTAAACAACTCAAAAAAAAATTCAGGTGCACACAGTGCCATCTGATGCAATACAGTTTCTATAGCATGCTTTTTATATCTGCGAAATCATTGAAATTTTAAAAGGCAAGAAATGTTTTTTAATTCATATGATCTGTAATTTTTGTATTATTAATTCAAGCTTTTATTATTATTATTATTATTATTATTAGTTTCATGAATCATGAGTTTGAATCACAGTATTCATGATGTAAGAGATTTTGTGTGAAAAATCCCTAGTTGTACAATTACAAGGGTGTCATAGTTGTATTGACTTTATTTTTTTTTTTTTTTTTTTTTGTGTGTGTTGTGTGTGTTTTACAATATCATTTAATGTTGTTAGATCATATAAATATCACTGGAATGATGAATCACAGTAGGTCCTCCTATAATAGTACAGTAGAGGTCTCAGACACCATGCTTACCGAATGCACTATCCAAATTCCATGCCTTGAAGTGCTAAGTGAATTAAGCTCATAATCTCCCAGTAGTATTAACTTTCTATGGCTAATCTGATGATGAAAATCATAGATTGGGAGGTTTTTAAATATAATCTGGATGATTTCAATGCCAGTGCAACACTTAGCTCCATAGCTGACATAGAATGCAATTCTATCTTCTTCATATCAAAATTAACAATGACTTTGAATGTGCTGTATATATCAAGTTTAAAAGAAATAACAGCAAATTTCCAAACTACATTCTGGGTGCAATAAAAGATAAAAACAAAATCATCAAATTGTGGGGCCCACCAGCGGCCGAGCGGTAAAGTCGCTGAACACTGGTAGTTCGGTCCGAGGTTCGAATCCCGCGAACGGGCTGGCTGCATGGGCGTTTTCGTGGTTTTCCCCATGTGTAACGTGTATACGAGCCAGTTTCCCTTAAAAAGTCCTCCACGAAGGCATCCCTCCCCTTAGGCAGATAGCCTTCGTGTGCTTTGCCATAATTCAATACACACTGTAAGGATCTTAAGTTTTACTAACGTTTATTTTATTTTAAATCTTTACTATCACTTCTTATTTTCTACTTCCGGCCAGAATTATAAGCGTTAACGTATTTATGCAAAGTTTGTCTGGCGAACGCCAAGTACTTAAGTTGTGGCTTTTTACCAAGCGAAAGAGAGAGGAAGCAGTTAGTCGAAGCAGGCCGCTTACCTCAGAAGTTTTACTCAGTTGCTGGTTGCCTTCCAGGCCAGAGGTTTAATCCTCTTGATAACTTTAAACCTATTGTAGTGTTCACAGTTCTCTGTACTACATACGGTAAATTTCACCATTATAAAATTAATATAAGGCCAATCCTATTAATTAGTTCCTATTAATATAAGGCCAATCTTCCACGTTTATTATTTTAAAGTTAAATTAGAGTTTAGTTTTATTTTTATATTTTTACATTTAGACCACAAGTAGTGGGTCTTTGTATTCCGAAGTACGGAAGTTATTGTAAATAGAGAAAAATAAAGGGTTTTGTATACCCTTCTTGTGTATCCTGTCTACTTCCCACAGTTATTGAACATAGCTTTAGTAAGCTCTCTGTTCCGAGTTCAGGTCCTTGCATGTTCCCGAAGAAAGTAAGACGGAACATAGAACCTGATAGTGGTGCCCAACGAAGAAGAAATAACCATGGCCGAGTTTCAAGAAGAACCTGTGCTGCCTGCAGAAGCGGCTCAGAATCCAGAAATGCCAGCTGCCACCCTGGAAGGATTTGGTTACATACATCGTCCCAGACCATGCGCGCTTCGATGAAACCAGAAGCAACATTTAATGGAAACTCACCGGTAACCAGTTTTTTGGAAAAATTGGATGACCACTTCATGCTCTATATCCAGACCGTGCACGAATTTCAAAAAGTTACCTTAGCTACCAGCGCTTTGAGGGGCCAAGCGCTTAACTGGTTCAAGTGTATAGGCAGAAGTCTCTTGGGTCAAGCAGGAAGTCCCACCTGTACTTACGAAAATTTGAAGACTGCCCTACTAAAAGCCTTCCCTGTCGTAAGGGATCGTGCGCAATTAGAAACGGAACTTTTCAGCATATATCAACAAAGAATCGAAAATCTCTCAAGCTTTATTTTAAGAAAAATTCACGTCTTCAAACTCTTGTATGGAAACCGTCCGGATCCTGAGATAATTCAAGTGATTTTGCCGAGGTTACTTCCCCAAGTGCAAGACTTTATTGAATTAAGAAATCCGACTACACTGGAAAAGTTATTTGAGCTAGCAGTCCAGTTTGAAAGTAGAAGAACGGCGGACATTGAAAGAAGATGCCAATATCAACAGCAAAACCAATTTGGTGCGCCAAGACTACAGCAAACTCAAGCACACGGCTACGGAAGCAAAGCGAATCAGTGGGCAAGGAAACCCGAGCATTCAAAAAACAGCCGGCGAACGTCGACAGTTCAATAGCAATCCAGAAAAAAGTCTCAAGGCCAGTGGAAAAAGAAGGAAAGCACGGAAATGAAAAATAATTTAAACTAAAACGGATTTCTGCTGACAGGAGGGTGCGGAAATCCGAAGGCCACGAAAACCCCTCTTCCTTCAAGTTAAATACAGTAATGGTGAAAAATTTGACTCTTCCGAAGATTGAAGTGTTGGTGAATAATATCCCAGCCACCGCACTCCTGGATACAGGCGCACAGTGTTCCTGTGTGGCAGAAGATTTTTTTAGGAAGTATTTTCGGAAATACCGCATATATAATTCGGATAATACGACAGTGTTAGCGGCGCAAGGAGAAAAATGTAAGTGTATAGGTAAATTACCGCTGTATGTCCGTATCAAGGACGAACAAGTAAAGGTGATGTTTTCATAGTAAAGAATCTGCAAGCACATATTATTTTAGGAATAGATTTTCTTTCAGAGGCACAAGCAACACTGGATTTTAATGAAGCGTCCCTTAAGCTGACGATGAAACCAGTTCGTGGAGAAAAGGCTGAACCGCCGATGTTAAATCTTGACCACCTGCCTAATGACGAGCAGCGAAGAATCCGACAAGTGGTAAGTGAATTTGCTTCGTTATTTAGTGATATTCCAGGATTTACTCAGGTTACTAACCATAGTATTGACACCAGAGATTCAATGCCAGTTCGCCACAAAGCATACCGGTATGATAAGAATAAGGAAAAAATGATAGAATGGCATATCACCGATATGCTACGTAAAAAGATCATAACGCCCATCTCAAGTAGTTATGCTAGCCTGGTGGTTTTATGTAAGAAAAATAATGACTATCCTTTGACACATCCAAAAAGGTGGAGATTCGCAATTGACTACCGTAAATTAAACTCCATAACTAAATATCCGGTATATCCGTTACCTATTATTGAAGAAATTCTAAGGAGCATAACATCCACCAAATATATGACGACTTTAGACTTAACGACTGGTTATTTTCAAATAGGGGTTAGGCCTGAGGACGTGCCTAAGACTGCTTTTATAACCAAGTCTGGCACTTATGCATTTTTGCGTATGCCGTTTGGCCTTTCAGGGGCACCGGCAACATTTCAGCGATGTATGGACATTGTGTTAAGACTTGTTCTTGGAAAGTCCACATTTATCTATTTAAATGATATCATTATTACTAGTGATAATCTCGACCAACATGTACAGGATTTAAGACAGGTGTTTTCTTTATTAAATGAGGCCGGTCTAAAAGTTAATGTCGAAAAGTGCAAATTTGCAGCCCCTGAATTAAAACATTTAGGTTACAAAATATCTCATAAAGGAATCGAGACAGACGAATCAAAAATAATCGCTGTACAAAAGTATCCGACTCCGAACACGGCAAAGAAGCTCTCTTCTTTTCTAGGACTTTGTTCATATTATAGGTCCTTTATAAAAGATTTTGCAGCTATTTCTGAGCCATTGTTAAAATTAAAAAGGAAAAAGGCAAGATTCTCGTGGACGGCCGAAGCCAATAGTGCTTTCGAAAAATTAAAACAAGCATTAACGCAAGCCCCTGTGTTGAAATTTCCTGAAAAGGATGAGACTTTAGAAATTTCAGCGGATGCTTCGGATTATGCGGTAGGAGCGGTACTTTCGCAAAATCAGCAGCCCGTGGCATTTTTTAGCCGAACTTTAAATCAAACACAAAGAAATTTTAAATAAATTATTCCGCGACCGAGAGAGAGGCACTTGCAGTTCTGTTAGCAGTGCAAAAGTTCCGAGTCTATTTTGGAAAGGCGCCAATAACAGTGTACTCTGATCATGCGGCGGTAACTAGATTCATCAATGTACTCAGGGAAAAAATTTATCCCCAAGGTTAATAAGATGGGCACTCAAGCTACAAGAATATAATCTGGTAATCAAGCATAACCCCCGGAAAGGAAAAT